TTGGCAGCCCCGTACATTTTCATCTTGCCTCCCGCCTTGGAGGTAGGTACTTACGTAGTCGAGAATGATCTTCGGCTCAGAAAGCGTTGACATTCGACGGGAAATCAAAGAGGGCAGCAAGTAAGTGCAGCAATGTGCGCGTTGGCGCGCCCGCGCCCATGTTATCGTATCTGTAGTCAGTCTAAGCTGTTCGGTCCAAGTAGTGCATTAAAATAGCAATGAATGAAGAGCACGATCCTTGCAGTTGCTGCTGCTACACGCGCGGTGAAAGAGACCCGAGATGCCCCGGATGCTTGATTGACTTGCATATATATAGTCTATAGCTCACACCCACTACACAAAAGAGCCTGTTTTGGACGAGACCGCACACATTCCTTCTTCCCCTCGCTGCCTCGGCAAGGCTTTTTCACTTAGGCATGGCCCATAGCGAGGGGGGGGGTCTTTCTAGCGAGCATGGCTAGACTAACCCTCAAGGGACCGATACCTTCTTGCTGCGGCGCACCCGCCACAAGGCGTGCGTACCTCTTCGGGCTTGTTGTGTACCCTTATTTTATTTTCTTGCTAGTTTGCGTGTTCTTTGGATCTTCTGAGATGGCTCTTCTTGCATTTTTGTGACCACGGACCGCGCTTTGCTAGATTTTGGGATTAGCAACTGATACGAGTTTAATGTAATGACAACAACAACAACAACAACAACAGTTTTGGGGGGGGTTCGGTCCGTGACTGCGTACAGCAATGCATGTTCGGTGTGGTCCGCCACCACCGCGTACGTATGTAGGTGACTCATGATAGCATACACCCTATCTATCTATCTATATCAAATTTCAAAGGCTCGATTATTACTCCAAGGCAGCGGAACAGCGGCGGTGCCGGAAATGGAGGCGTTGGGTCACCTCGCCGAGATAATTTCGAAAAAGCATCGTGTCTTTGATGCATCCTCTTCGTCGTCGAGTAATCGAGCTTTCTTTGCAAATCGGTCCAGGGGGGTGGTGGTATCTTGTGTCACCCGTGGCAAGGTGGGACGCAGATTTGTGGTCGTTGGGGGAGTTGGCTCGGTTGGGGCTCCAGCCTTCTATGCTGTAAGCAATTACAGACTGGGTCGTGCAATGCGCGTATCGCTGTTCCATGGTTTCCTCTCCTGGTGGCCTAGATGTCTAAATCGAGACGCCGGAACGCGCTGACCTTGTTTCGAGCGACGGCCATGATGGTTTCCTGGTATAGTCAGTTATACGGCACAACATACAGCAGTCCCCTATCTATGATCGCCTATCTATGATCTAATTGTAGACTGCTTTGTGTACAAATTGTTATGTATCTCTGTCACCGGTTGTCTCTTCTTAACTGGTTTACGGTAGAGGGTTACAGTAGGTGTCCCGATATAGTGCCGGTTGAATAGTCCCAAAGTCCGGGGTAGTGCATAGTGCCGGTAAAATTTCTTGACACACTTGACACACAGACACGGGTGTTAAGGAGGACCCGATTCGCAGGGTATCCGTCGATTGACTTTTACCAGAAGGATACGGGTAGTCGCCCTCATTCCTCCCATTGTTATACGCGCGGGTGCGCGTAAAAGAGTGGTGTGTGGCGTTTAGGTTTTGACTTTATTTCTCTTGCCGTCGTCTGTTGCGGATAGTGTGCTGTGCAGCACTACATATTTTTCTTGGCCTTATCCCTTCCTTGATAGGAGCGTTGTCATTGAGATGTCGATGTGTTGTCTCGTGGCCGTTCGCATCCATCTTTCGTCTCAATGATGGTGTGGGGGTTGATTCGGGATGTTTCTACAACTCACCCTCCTTTTTGGATGTTTTGTGAAGAGTCATATCTTCGATTCATGAGCATCAATCGTCAGCTAAAATCTTCGTTGTAGCTTTTAGGAGTTGAGCATTGATTTGAGTATAGAATCTGCATATATGATATTCAGGGTGGGCTAGTGTTAAGGAGTGTGGCTGCTAGCTTAAATAGGGTACATCTTATTGTTGATAGGATGTGGGTCGGTCCCAGGAGGTATACCCTTCAGACACCTACCCTCTTAGGATTTGTCTAGTCTGCGTACCCCCCTGAGGTGAAGTTGGATCCCCACTTCACCTCAGACCCTTGCTGATCGTCTCTCAGCAATAACAAGCAACTTTCTCATCTCAACGTGATCGTGGACAAGCGTGTCAACGACAGAACCTACCTTCATCTATCTCTAGGAGCAAGCTACCACCCACGGCTCCCTCTCCTTGAAACGGGCCTGAATAGTGCCAAACCGGCACTATTGAGGGCTGCCCGCTATAGTGCCGATTCAGGCACTATAGAACCAATATAGTGCCGGTTCACACCCCACACACAGCCTTTTTTCTTTTTTTCGCCTCAAGCCTTCCACGCCAACAGGATTCAGAGACGGTTTCCCTTCGAGCTACAAGTAAGCTCGGTTTCTCTCGGTACGCGTTACGTCTTCAAATGTCGCGATTTACCGATCGACCACAGGTTCCTGCGAAGGTGTACCAATTCTGGTAAAAGTCAATCGACGGATACATACCCTGCGAATCGGGTCCTCCTTAACACTCTCCACCCACAGAATTTACCCTCAACTGGGAACCTCTTGTGGCCAGGACGGGTAATTCGATGGAAGTGCCACAAGGTTCTTTATAGGATGGATTCCAAGAGGTGTTCTCAGGACTGACACACATGGTGTCCATGGGAAAATGTCCAAGTCAGGAGAAAAAACGTGCACCCAAGGATATTCGAACCAGTATTATCCTGCTGACGCCATATGGCAATGCGAAGGTGTACCGATTCTGGTAAAAGTCAATCGACGGATACCCTGCGAATCGGGTCCTCCTTAACATTCCACTAATAGGCTGGGATTTCAGTACAGTGAGGCGAGCGAAACGGAAGATAATAGTGTGATGGTGTAGTACATCGTGACGACGGATATGGAAAACACAGTATAGCGAAGGACAGCAGCAGTGATGATGCAGGAGGAAAATATGGCGTTGAGGGGAACAACAAGAGTTTCGAGCGAGATGACCTTCCTCACAACAAACGCCGCAGGGGCGCAGAATCTATCTAGAGATGAAAGCCCGAAAATAGTGGAATATTGGCGAAGGGTGTAGTCTAGTAGTGGGTGGAATCGCCAAGCAAGGCATGCAAAATATACCAGTAGACTAGTATGCAAAATAAAGACGTCTCTAAGAAAGGATGAAAACACTCCGATACGAACGCGTGTTCAAGTAGTAAGCCTTGGCAGTCGCGTAGTTCTCCTCTCTCTGTTGCTACCATTTCTTCTGTCTCTTATCCAGAGAATAGCTCAGCCTCCTCCATGACAACCTCTCACGACCTTGAGAAACAAATATTTTCTGTTTTTGACCGCACTGAGACTGGCGTATTTTGGTTGGCCAGTCGTTTTTCTTGCTTCTGAAGGCTTGGTCTTCTCTCTAGCTTTTTATCGACGGAACAGGGGAGTTCGTTATCTTCTTCGCCTTTTTTAGGTTGCATCTGCTTTTGTGTGCTGATGTAAGGAGCACTACATCCATCCATGTTTTACCTCCAAATGTACATCGGGTGCGTTCATGAGCGTCTTTCTTTCGCTGTGTCGAGGGGTGCCTTTGAGGTTGCCTGAATAGTGCTACGGCCTTCTTGCGACACAACACATAATAATTTGATAGCGAGGTGAACTTTTATCGGGCAGCACGGTCTACGGTTGAAAGGCAGCAGCAACGTTTCACCAGCGAGTGCTTGCGCTGAGGTGGGAAGAGAACAACTGCTGCGCAACAAATCTATCTGGTCAATCAAGTTAATTTTAATGTGACCAATGCCGTGTTTTCGACAGTCCAAGAGTCTCACGAAACTTAATAATGAAGCCTGTCCATGTCGCCCACCTCACGATTGATCCAAGTACCGTTCGTTTGGTACTCTGTCAGCCCGGCAAAGGGCAAGCGCTGCACTCTGAAGTCGAACAGTCCTGAATAGTGCCAAGCCGGCACTATTAAAGAGGGATTTTCAGGCCCTGAATAGTGCCGGTTCAGGCACAATTCTGAATAGTGCCGGTGCCCGGTATAGTGCCGGCCAAATCGCCTGGACACATACCGGCGCTATATCGGGACAGTGAAAGTATTGACCCAATGTTGGTTCGGTGGTAGGGACGCGTTGGAAATGTGTGCCTACAGTAAGTTCTCATCGTGTACTGCAAAATATCGTGGGGCCCACGCAGCAGCCGCAGATAGGCCAGTGGTGTAATCGGCGGCAATATTAAGGGCTGCATGACACAAAAGTGTCTCGTTTTGTCCGGAATGCTACGCATATGATACGTACAAAAGTATATCCCGCAACCACGTGCGGTCAGTGTCATCTGTGTGTCTGCGTGAAATGTATTTACACCCATGTATGCCAATGCACATCTTGTGTGGACGCTAGCAAAAGGTTTCAACGCGCAAGGCAAAATGCATGCGGACGGGGCAGCAACGTGCACACGCACTAACTTAGTTCAGGGGGGATTCCAGCAACCCGAATCGTGCCGAATAGATCAGCTGATTGTTTCCGGACTGCAGTTCGCGAAAAGAAAAACACGCTTCCAAAATCATTGATTCTGTTGTAAGCAAGCCTCCTGAAAAGCGAGTTCTCGGCCCGCCAAATCTCGGCCCGCCAAATGGGCGCCCCTCGACAGCCAAGAACCGCTGCTAGCATAGGAGTACTCAAGAAGACCAAAGCGTTGTTTCCGTCCCTCCTGGAGTGGCAGGCCCATAAGTTGAATTAATTATTTGAGCGGGGAAATTACCAGTGTTTGCCTACGCGATGCACAGCCATGCCCATTGCTGAGCATCAGGAGCCCTTCCAGCTAAATAACGGGCAACAAAGCCGACGCAAACCCTACGACAACAGGCCACACCTGGGACAAAAACTACCACGCCTACAAAACTATCCTCGGAGACGTGCGGATGATGCGTCGCTCCCGAGCGCACACCCACCCGCGCGCTCAATCAAACACCGCGCGGATTCCAGATGTCCCTCTCCCTCTGCTATGCATCCCCCAGGGCTTGCAAGACCTGGTCCAGGAGGGCGTCGAACAGACCTTCCGCCGGGGGCTCCTGCAAGCTGTTCTCCCCCGCTGCCCCCGCCCCCGCTCCTAGCGCGCCGCCGGGACCAGCGCCCTTGCCGCCGCCGCCGCCGCCGCCGCCACCGCCCCCTTTCGCCGCTCGCGAAGCACGCGACCTGGTAACGGCCTCCACGTACTCCCGCAGGTCGCGGGCCACCCCGACCACGGTTTCCTGCGAGCAGGCGGCGGCCAGCGACAGAGCATGCTGGTGCGTTGAGGACCGCGATGGCCGTGGGACGAGCTCTGTCGCCGATGTTGTTGTTGCCGCCGCCGCCGCCGCCGCCGTCAGCAGGGCAGGCGATGGTCGGTCGCCGGTGGGCAACGCTACGGCCTCTGCCATCGGGAGGATGGATGCGGACACGGCTGCCGCCATCGGTGGAGGCGACAACCCAGACAGGGTGGTTGGTCTGCCCTCCCCGTCAGCTTCCCTTGGCGAAGCGAGAACGGTCGAGGTTCGGAGGGAAGCCGAACAGGCTTCGCCGCTTGTAGCTGCGCTAGTCGACGACGGCCCTCTCGCCACCACGTCTTCCCGCGGCGACGTCGCCGGTGCCTCGGATCGTTTGCCAGATGGTTTTTTTTCGTCCCGGTTCTCGTTGGCAGTCGCCGCCGCTGCAGCATCAACCCCCGAACGCGATCCCGCGGCCTCGATGCCGCTCTCGTCCCGCTCATGAGGCCCGCCGTCCGCCGCGCTCTCCCCGCTTGCTCTCAAGGCCGGCAGTGACACCGCCTCTACCGCCACCAGCGGCGAAGGGGGATTCCAGTGACGCGAGAGGTCGGCGGCGGCCGCGGTGGACGCCCCTGGACAGAGCTCTTCCAAGGCATCGGCTGCGTACGCCCACCTCTGTACAAGTGTCCACCGACAAGGACAAGAGCAGGCAAGGGGAGAATAGAACGCCAAAACGTCCAGATACATGCGTTCAGAAAGGAGGGGCGAGAGCGAGGCTAGAAAATACCAACCAACGTAGGGCGGGTGGAAAAAACGTAACTTGTACGACATCGGCCTGGTACTGATAGCACGTTCCAAGGAACACAGTAGCAAACCTTCGCCGTGAGTTCAACCCATCTATTATCACGTGCGGCACGAACGAGCCAGCCAGCGAGCATGCGGTACAAGGTCGAGAGCGGCAAGCAGAAAGGGAAAACATACCAAAGCCAGAAGTGAATGCAAACGCCCAAAGCCGCAATATTTAGGACGCGAAAGCGCGTGTCTTTTTCAGGCAGCGAACAAAACACAAGTCACAACCTGGTGTTCATTGAACAGTCGGCGATACATCGCGAGTCTACACATGTTTGGGCGCAAGGGTGGCGACATCAGCGGCGACGGGGGCGTAGCCGTGAGCGCGGCAGCAATACTCGAAGAAGCAGCGCTACAGCTGCCCCAAAAAATTCAAACGGTTGTCGCAAAGATGCCTCCAAGATCACACGTCCAGCTTATTCGGACCCCGAATAACTTCTGTATGCCACATCACCACCAATCGCGCCCGCGACGCTGAAGGAATAGGTAAAAACCAACCAAAGAGGTTTCTGCTGCTGTGCTCACCTTTCGAAATGCCACGCATGATCCAGGTCGGCAGATCTCCCTATACCTATGCACCTTCATACAGAAGCGCATCGCTCGCCTGACCTCCGAGGCCGCCAGCCACGGGCGCTCCGCGGAATCGACCGTCGCCCCCCCTCCTGCCGCCCCACGGGCTGAAGATTCCGTTGCTCCCCCATCCGCTAACCTCACCAACGGTGGCGGAGGCGGTGGTAGTGGCGGCGGTAGTAGCGGTGACCGGCAACCAGAAACGAGGCCAGGAGTGGCTCTTACCGCAGAGGCAGCAGCACTCGCGGAATAAGTCGTCGGCGGTGGCCCCTGCGGCAGTCTTCGGAACAGTCCCGACGTCCTCGGCAGCGGGGACGGGGGCGGCAGGGGCAACCAACCACCCCCCACGCTGCCGCCGCCGCCGCTGCTGCCTCTCCCAGCCACCGGCCTGTCGGCAGCGTGGGAGGAGTAGAAGTCGGCTTCCAGGGTGTCGCACGCTCGGCTTCCCAGCGCGGAGGAAAGGGTCACGTTCAGTCGACGGCACCTCGCGTACTCCTGGGGAACAGTTAGTGAAGGCACAAAACGTCAAGGACCCGGACGTGGGACCGCACACGGGGCAGAAGTAGGGGGGGCTCGTTCGGTTCTTCTCGTAATATTTTAGGCCCTTGGCGACACGCTTGTTTCGGCGCGAGATGCCGATTGCACCAGCAATACAGACAGCACGAATTACCAGCCCTCTGCACGTCTCAGTCCCTTCTACCTCCGTCCGGTATTACTTCAAAGGCAGAAACGCTGACCAAAGCAAAGCGTTGCGACAGTTTGAGCCCGGGTGGTACGTGGTGTGGTGTCTCAGGAAGAAAAAACAGAGCGCGGGCTTACCTCATCGCACACCATGTGCTCTGCCACGGACATGTACGAGTCCTCTGCAGCCTGCCTTGCGTGCCGCTGCAACGTGCCGACCCACGCCACTTGCTTCGCTCGGCTCTCCGCTCGAAACTTCAAATCAAAAGCGTCAACGGGGCACGACAGGGGCGGAACACTTGTTGACATCTCCCAGAGGTGAAAACTTCAACCACGTTATTGCAATTTTATCAACTCGCGCTGCGCATTGTCGAAGAAAGTTCGACAACAACGACAACACCAACAACAACAACAACAACATCAGCAACGATGCCAACAAAAGCGAAGGCAACAGCGATCTCACCGTGTGGACCCGGTTCTGCGAGTGCAGCTCGAAGCAGTGGCTGGGCGCCTGCCCGTTCGAGAGGGGAAAGCGAGAGGGCGCGAGGGATAACAGAGCGGACACGTCGGGGCAGCAGTGAGCGACCGGAGCATGGCACAGCACCGTGCAGACACCGACAGGGACGCGTCGCTGCGGGCGGGAAGAAACCTAATCCAAAGCAGTGTCGCCAAAGCGGAATCAAACCATTTAGACAGAATCAGCGCTGATAAGTCTGATGGTTTGACTTTCGGCTTCTATAGGATGCACTTTGATTCTCTACGAAAACAACCCCGAGAGGTGGCAGCAACCCAGCCTGCGATACGGCGTGAGGGCGCGGTAGTCCCACAGCGGTGGAGGGTAAGTACCGGCTTGGCTGACCCTTTTGGGGGAATCTCGTGATGGAGACACAACAAGGTTGTACCCACGAGGGTAAAGGTATGCGTTGTTATTAAGCACAAGGATTACCGTGGGACGATTAACTGCGCGAGCGACGCAAGGCACCAGGGCCAAGGAGAAGCTGTGGCTGCGCCCGCCCCCCCTCCGCCTTCCCGACTGCTCGCTCTTGCTGCGGAGGAGCCACAACCGGTCATCCTGGCACGCAGGGAGCGAAGGCCAATGAGGGAACATGATATGAGAGACAACAGGTCTGCTGGGAAAATCGTTTTTGAGCTTTCGAGACGGCCAGGACAGGGGAGCGATGCGCACGTCAGGGAGCATGCCCATGGGACTCCTGTCGATGAACCAGGGCCCAGCACGTGCTTGTGTTACGGGGTGCCAACGGTGCGGGGCCACGCAGTATCCAATGCAACATTGAACCACAAACTCAAGAGCGCCAACGTGTTGTCGGGAAAAAAAATCTCCGCAGCACTGAATTGTTAATAAATCACCAGGGACATGCCTGTGACTCCCGTTTCAAGCCCTTTACACATGGGGACGGCGACCGTTCCAAAGTATCTCCCACAATATCACGAGCTAGAAGCCCGTCTGCGTATCCATCCCTCTCTCCTCTCACCGCCAGAATGCACCATCGTCGTCGCCACAGGTTGGGGTCACTCCTGCTCTTCTTCTGGAGGTACCCGCAGTAGTGCCCCTGTCCGAGTCCCCGCAGGTCTATCCAGCCGGCCCTTCTCTCGTCCTCCGAGGTGTCTGAACCCGACACCTGCTGCAAGAACAGAGTGTTGCCGATATTGTTGTTGTTGCTGCTGCTGCTGCTGCTGCTGCTGCTGATGGTGGTAGTTGTTACTGGTGTTGCTGGTGGTTGTGGTTCTTCGAGTTATGTTCATGTTGCTCTGTGTCTTTGTGACAACACAGGCCATCCAACATGGAGAAAGAACCCACCTCCGGTCATCACCAGTGTGTGCAACAACCGACGGAACCGTGCTCTTCGCACCAAACACGACGGGATATATAAAAAACGCCGCATTTCATTTATTTTATGCTTCACAAATGCGTCAGGGCTACGGTCGACAACAGTTTTTCCTTTCGCCGTCGTCCCTCCTAACCTAACGGCCAGTCAGGTCCATCCCGCTGCTCTATTCGAGGCAAAGCTGGACTTGCTCATAAGCCGTGTGATTACGAATGCTAAACAAACAAAAAAAAACTCACCTCCACCTGAAGCTCATCGGGGTCGAGCGCCGGCGCTGTCCGCTCTCTGTAAATCCAGCGCGATCTCCACATCAAACCAGCTTGCGCCGCCCTGCCACTGCGGGCACCCGCTCCGCCACCCTCCTCTCCCCCCTCCCCCCGCCGGATGCCTCCATTGCCGCGCGAAACCCCAAGCTTTCCCGCCGTCTCCTCCTCGTCCACACGCCTGACGCCGCCGCCGCCGTTGTCGATTGTTCCTTGCGCCCGGAGGGCAGCGTCGATATCAGCAGCACCGCCGGCAGCGGGGCTGGCAGCCGTCGTCCTCGTCGAAAAGCTGTCGGTCCTACCTCGGTCTGGGCCATCAGTATCGCCTCTGGCGCCGCGATCGTGGCTGTTTGCTGGATTTTGCGGCCTCCCCGCACTATTTGGCTCGGGAAGGCCCAATCGCACCTCCCCAAGGCGCTCTTCCGACCGAAAGGTATGGAGGATATGTCTAATGCTGCTTTGGTGCTCTTCTTCCCCTCTCCTGGAAAGTAGTGTCACAGACGGGGAGTTCTAGTAAGCGTTTTGGGGGGGGTTCAACAACCGAAACTGACCCAATGGCGCTCACCAATGGAAAGCACGGGAGGCGCGGGAGGGGGGGGTACTCATACCCGTGCATGCCGTAATCGTGAGGGGGGGGGTAGGGGTCGCAAAAGAACACGTCCCCTCTTACCTCCTTCTCCTCCCATCGTGCCGCCGCTCACGCTCGTCCCTACCACCACCAGCGGTGTAGCCTGCAGAGTAGTTGTCAACCTCGTCGCCCCCCACCGTCGCGCCGCGGTCAGCAACCCCCGCTGAATGTCTGTGGCCAGGTCCAGTGCTCCCGCCGCCCGTGTCGCTCAAAGACGACACGTTCCTCGCTGGGCGGGCGTAGATGGCGATAAGGACGTACTCGTTCTGCTCAGCTGGCAACTGCCGGAGCTTCTCTCCGATCTTGCGGCAAACCTTGGAGCAGAGAAAAAGAGGTCAATAGCAGCAATGAACATGGTTGGGGGGGGCGGGGGGATGTACTCATAGTCGTGCATGCCGTAGTTGTTAGACCATTGACCTCGCATCCCTACAAAGCCGGGACGGAGCACGCCGGGTTCTCACTGGACCAGGCTCTCGCACCACCAAGCGCGAAGCGCCGTGAGGTATTCGGCGAGTCGCATGAAGGGTGAGCTGCATTCTGCTAAGGGTGTTCGGCATCTTGTGCTTACTTCCTTGCGTACGGATGACAGCTGCGTATGACCTAATGTATTTTCTGGTGCTTTCACGTCCAGAGACAGTTATAAGCACTGTGTAACTGCTTCGAGGATGCTTTACCATTTCAACACAACGTGGTGTGATCATCCCCCCTGCGCGGAGTGAGGGAAGTCGACCCCGCACAACATGGTCTACTCGACCACCACTTATGGTTCCCGCAAAAAAAAAAACAAGACGTGAAAAAAAAAAAACGGTAACCTGCGTTGCCGAGTTCACGAAGTGAATTGGCTTATTTTACAACGTCCTTGCCAAGTGACGAAAACCCAATCCCGATGGCAAACACCGGGGGGGGGCGTACTCCTATGTTTTGCATGCCATAGCGGTTAGACCATTGACCACGCGTCCTCGAGAGGACGGAGCATTGTTCCCACAGGATCGATCACCGATGGCCAATCGTTCCTTCCTACTTTGCCAAAGGCGGCTCAAAAATGTCTTCCCTAGTCTGTCTATCCTAACGATATCCCTTCCCGCCTTTTCATACCACTTCCTACTCCCCAGTACAGCTACCGTCCTCTCCTCTCTATTCCATGCCTCAAACATCTCCCTGTACGTCCCTTGTATTTTTCCCAGCTCAGTCATGTACACTTCCCTCTCCTCTTCGTACCACGGACATTCCGCGACTACATGAACACGGTCTTCGCATTCGAAGCCGCAATGACATTTGAACTTGTCGTCTTCGTCGTCTACCGTCCTATGTCTTCGTCGACGTTCTCGAAGGCCTATGTTCCCGGTCCTGAATTTGACCTTAAGCTTTGTCCCTGCATCCATTGGTCCATGTAGGTAATCCTTGAACCCTATTCCTTCTTTCAACATTCCGTACACTTCTAGACCCTCCTTATCCTTGGTTTCTTTCCTTACATTCTGTTCTTCTCTCTCGGCACAAGCAACAGATATCTTCTCCTTGAACCCCTGTAGACCCTCCGTTTCCAGCGTTTCATCTTCGTCGATGTCTAACCCCTTCCATACGTCCTCTACAACCTTGACCCATTCCGTCGGTTGTCTACCCCTATTTTTGTTTGCCCACTTCGCTTCCCATACTATTCTCGGCAACCTCTCCTCTCCCATCCCGCACATGCGATACTGCCATGTCAGCTTCCTTGCGTCTCTTCCCGACCGTAGGGATCTGGATCCCCAATTCTGCCCTTACGGCTGCATTACTTGTGCGCTTGGAGCATCCTAGGATGAACACCGGGGGGGGGCGGCTTGTTTTACAACGTCGTTGCCAAGCGACGAAAACCCAACCCCGATGGCCAACACCGGGGGCTGACATGGTTGGGGAGGGCTAAAACTTGTTCGTAGCATTGTCACCAAAAACGCGAATCTGTAGGCATCCACCAATTTCATACGTGCCAAACTAACAGCAGTAGGGCAAGGGGGCTAGGACAAGGTTCATAAGGCCTGCAGTGTCTCTCCGTGATCACACAGCGCAGACCTTACAACAAGCGCCGCCGCTACGCCGGATTTCATTTGCCGGGTATGTGATAGCGCTATGCACTAGGGGCGTGTACGCTGGATCATCGGCTACTGTAACGTGCGAAACATCTGCGCGAGGCAACTGCACCGCTCACCTGCCCAGCAGTCGTCGAAGGGAACACCCTCATGTGCAGGAAAGACGCGTGCGCCCCAGAGATGAGTACCCTGATCACCACACCCTCCGACGGAGCTGCCACCGGCAACGGAGGTGACAAATTCTCCTTCGCCGCCGCCGCCGTTACGCCGGAACCTTCTCTTGGCCTTGCCGCCAGTGCGGCAGTCTCGTCGCCTATCAAATCGCCATCTATGCTCTTTTCTCGGCTGTCACCGTTGGTGCTGTCGCCACCGCCGCCGCCGCCGCTGGATGTCCCGCTACTGCTCCGGATACCAACACTTCGTTGGTCCGTTGAAGAAGGTGCGGGAGATGCTTCTGCTTCGACACTACTGCTACTGCTCTGTCTAAAACCGTTCCTGCTGCCAGCCGCAAGTGGTGGAGGGTGCCGCTGTCGGCCATCCCTTGCCGCCCAAGGTGAAGCCGCCGCCGCCGATTCCGGATGGTGCGAGCTGCTGCCGCTGCTCGTGGCCGTTGCGGTCGTCGTGAGGCCCATGCTGGCGGCCTGCCGAGAACAAAGGGGGGTTTTCCGGGAAATGCACGAAAAACAATATTTTTAAGGATACACAGACACACAAAAGATGTAAACGTAGTGGGTTGTACGCGAATCTCGCCGCAACGTGTGTCAACATCGTGCGGTGTCACACGTTGCCGAGCCGGTGCCTGCCTTATCCAGGTGCTGTTACGTCCTCGGCAAGCGGACGCTCGCGAGAAAAAATAGGTAAATGCTGCAGGAAGAGGGCGCGAAGCACCAGCAGAAGGCGCAGTGCGCCAAGAATTTCTAAGGCCCGGCTTGTCTAGCTTTGCATTCAACCTTGTCACTGTTATCTTTTCGAGGGTCCGGACGGTGTGTGTGTATGTGTGTGTGTACAAGTGTGTGATTGCCATATTATGCAAAGCGATGCTGCCGGGGGCCTGGGCCTTGTTGGGACAAGACTTCCAGCAGGCAAGCCGACTGTGGGGTATATAGCAGGCATACGTCGTGCCCGCACGCATGCACGCTCCTTTGATGCACTGCTAGGGGGAGAGGGAAGCAGGGCTCACGCACCTCTGGTGTTCCATACACATCATCAACAGCTGCAAGTGGGAGGGAGCACTTTGCCAAGACTCATATGCGGCGCAACTGATATCTACGTTTGCAACTAACAGCTAAACTTGAACACGAGAATGTGGTGACAAGGTCACAACGTCGGGTTGCCTAAATCCAACAAAAACTCTTAGCACAAGTAGAGGACGAGGCCCACCTTTTCCCATTCATACATCGTGCCCCTCGGCAGCGGGCAGGCAGGGATGACCGTGTGCACGTGCACGCTGCGTGCTGCGTGCTGGTGGCCCCGCAAAATCATTACTCTGCGTGAGGTCCCCTCGGTGTCGAGCACGCGAGGTGATCAGGTGCCAGAGGGCACCGGCCAGGATAGGCAGCAGTGCCACCGCCTTCCGTGGCTCCTTGCCGGATGTCCGACATCCAGAGCTCGCTGCGGCGTCTCCAAGAATCCATCCGCGGCTTGTCGGACGCGAGTGCTCTTGTCGGCGCGACGGAAGCCATCAGCGTGCACTCGCAAGAGAGAGGAAACGGCGATATCTATGACGACGGCGGCGGCGGAATAACGTCGCCGGTTGTTGCCGGTAGTAGTACGAGGAGCAGCAGCAGCAGCACTCGCCGATCACGACCGGCATCTTCCACTTCCAAGAGCAGTTCCACTGACAAGTACCACCAGCACCAACATCGTCAGCACTTCGATGGCGACGATGATGGGGACGCCAGATCTTCGCATAGCGGTCTGCCGGCGAAGCGGCAGGAGGAGGGCGAGCCCGCTGTCTCCTTTCTGTCTTCCATACCGCGGGATCTGAGAGAGTCGGCAGAGGTGGGGAAAAGGGTAGAGAGCGGCGGCGGGCTAGATACACAGTAGGGTTTGCTTTCGTGGCGGTGGTGCTACTTGTTGTACCGCTTGGATGGCACGGGCATGATGAATTTAAGATCTCCGTTTGCCGGTACATTGTCTACCGCAGTCCTCGAGTGTCGCAACACATCGCCGGCCTGTTCACAAAGATACGGAGAACGACCTGGCGCGCATTCGTGTAATACATGTACACCGAAATATGTCTGCAAAGCGAATTAAACGGAAACATTAAAGCACACCAACCAACCCCCAACTGTGGTTGGGGTGGGGTTAGAGTCGTCGACGGGGTGGTTATACAGCAGTATGGCAATGATAAAGTAATGAGCAGGGTGCAAACTCGGGGCCAGTTTATTTGAGTGTACCTTTTTAGAGTAAGTTAACCTGTGACCACGGGAATCGACCGCGTCGAGTGTTGGATCAGTACGGACATACGAAGGTACTGGGTAGAGAGAGATCGGAACGGTTTTTAATGTGAAGACAACAACAACAACAACACCAACAAACCCGCCGCAAGTCCGTCCGCATGTCTAGACTACATACCTCCACAGAGAATGAAACAGTGTGCAGGCACGTTTGAGACTTGTGCATGCACTCAGCAAGCAGATATACATAAGCCCACCGATGGGGAACCCATTTTGTTTTTTCATCGATTCGGCTCCACGAATGCGTCCCTCCTGGATAATTCTTGTTGTGCTTGCATGACCCAAAAATGCTAGACCCCCCCCCAAATCCCCCAAAAAGAAACAAACAATTGAAACGTATGGAAAAAACACGCATGTACAAACTACATTCTAGATGTACTGTACATGTCAAACCCTCACGGAGGCCCAGTGGGGTAGACTAGTTGCCATGCACGTGGGTTTCTCTCCGTCCACTCCTCTCAATTATTGCCGGACGTTAGCGATTGATGATTGTGCACGAGGAATAGAAAGTCGAGAGAACGGCCGCAAAAAAGAGGTCACCCGTTTGCATCCTGTACCGGAGAGCTACTTATACCGTGATACTGTATTACGGGCCCCCTATTTTCGACAACCGTTGGTGTGCCATACCCACCAAAGTGTTGGATCAATATCATTTCCGCCCGACACTCGTGCTCTGCGGATCCTGCAAAAAGTGCCGCAATGGCTTTCAAATAGACCGAAGTAAGCCCATATCCAGCCGATTTTCTCCCACTCACTAGGGTAAAGGCTTGAATACATCCCCTTCTACTGTGGGTATGTCTCGAACGGGTACACAGTTTTCTATTTAGCGAATGTATATTTCCTATTAAACCTTTTGAATTTTCAGGCGTTCTGACTGATCATTGATTGATCATTTGCAAATGCTGGTGTAGCGGCAAGTCGTGGAGTTGCCGCCCTGCAGCCCTTCGCGCCGTGTGTTGGCAAGCAAGTCCATAGGTAGGTGTGTCTAGATTATTAGCACCCGCAATAACCGGCTGACCAATGAAGAGACGTCAGTGACAGCGATTAATATCAAGGTCTCGGGAATGGGGCAATCATTGCCAAATCATGAATCTCTCAACGTATGTACATGAACACATACATATATATATGTATGTGTTCTTTCGCAGCACCACACATACACTCGCCCGAACGTAGGAAGCCACTGCTGCAAAGAGCAGAGGGCAGCAAAAGGGAGGGTATTGCAAGCCCTGCCGAAGCCCAGATATCGAGGATGTCGTGGTTGCTGCATCTCCCAACAATTTGAAAATCGTTCCCAAGATCCAGCAGTCATTGCGTCAGCAGCCACAACGAACGCTACAACAACACTACTACTACTGCTGTAGACGAGTAACACATATCAGCAACACATCCACACTCGTCGCGCCACACATACCCTCGCCCGAACCTAGGAAACCACGAGGTACAGGTGTGTGCTGGTGGATGTGCTTGTTGTTTGAAAAACACAGGAGCTCTAGAGAGCTGGCAGGGCACATTTCGGGGGGGGACAGAGAACAGAGAAGTACAGAAAGTACAAATACCAGCTATGGGTCTTCACTGATCATTTTGCCCTCTCTGGACTGATCATTTACAATATACCGAAAATAGACTAGTTGAGGCAGCTAGACAACTGATCATTTCAAAGTCTACACAGCTAACCTGCCCTACTGACCGCAGCGCGACCACCCATTAACCCTTCTACGACCCTGTATGTGGCCACCACCCTGTCGCCGGCTTCCCTCATGGCCTACAGGTGGAGATAGCTGTTGCGTGTGCAGAAGTACACTGGTGTCTTTCTCTGCACTTCTCTCCGCTCGCTCTCGCTCTCATTTTTTTTTTGGCGCAAAAAAAAATCTGACAGTCCAGTCTAGACCCAAAGGGGTTAATGCCGGCTACACACCCCCTGCTGTTTTGACTGTACAAATTTTCTGCTAGCCTGTGCTTTCCTCATACCATTATGACACTCCGCCCTTTCCCCAAATGCAAACATCGCACCTCCAGGTTATTTTCCACGGTTCATGCACACCTGACTGCGCGAAAGATAACGGCCACCTCTACTTACGGCGGTAGTTTACAGTCAGCCCCAATGGGCTGTAAATGGATTATATGAGCTTCGCGAAGTCGCCACGGTATATCGATGTACAACATTGATGTCCAAAATCCACACACAGCTTCAGCAAGGAATTTAGTGGCAATTGGAGGGTGCAGAACGCTAACAGACGTCGAGAGAACATCTTCGTGTGCGTGTACAAATGAAATGACCACCTCACGCGTGCATGTCACGCTCCCGTTGATGATTCAGATGCGAGCTGCGAGAGAGCTCGAGGATCTGAGAATGGAGAAGGAGAGCCTTGACGTCATGAGGCAGCAGCTGGCGGCGGTGCACCAGCTCCGCATCGACCTCCAGAGGAAAGACTCCGTCATTCAGGCGAGGCAGAGCGGGGGGGCTCCGCAAAAGACAGGGGGGGGAGGGGGGGGACTGTTAAGTCAGGGCGGTCGCGAGAATTTTTGTTGCTGTAGTTTCTTAGCTGCAGCTTATCACCAACGTTGGTACTGATCATGTTGTCCGTGCTGATTTTGCGAGTGTTGTGATCGTTCTCGTAATCGCTGTTGGCGTGGCGATAGCCCACGTTTACGTAGGATCGCACGCGGTCGCGCACGTTTCTTCATGGCCAAGCATTATGCTTTGCCTCTGCCTGCCTTTCCCATTCAACTCATGTCACGACCATGTCCCGCACGATACCCCATGCCCCCCGATGGGCTCGGACCATTTACCTCTGCCCTTCCTTGATCTTCGATTTGACCGCCTTTGAGCAGTCTCTGCAGCTGAAAGTGCAGGAGGGAGAGTCCGCACGAGACCGTGAAGGGCGATTAGAAGCACACTGCCACCTCTTGGAGAAGAGGTGCTCGTGCTTGGTGAGGTGCAGCTCATTGGTGACCATTTCTTCTCCGTGCCGTTGTTGTAGCTGCTGTTCTTGTTTTTGGTGGGGGTGGTAGAATGGTGATGGTGATGCGGCTGCTGTTGCTCTAGCTGCTGTGCGCCTCGTCGGCGTTGGCTCGACAGCATCCTTCTCTTCGTCACGAACCAAGGAAGAAAACGTGTGATTTTTGCGACCCCGCGTTGGAAAACCCGACCACAGGAGTCTACCAACGGCGAGTACGCGGAGCGGCTTGGAGCTCTAGACCAGGAGAGCAGGTCCAGAGTCGACAGCTTGAGGCGGTGAGTTGCTGCAGAACACGCCACCACATACATACACGCGAAACTCTTTCCGGGCCCTTCCTCGCTTTTTCGTTGCACCAGTGTGGCGGGCAACAGAGCGTACATAACTTTTGGTGTTGGTACATGTACGTAGGAATAATCATTCCGTCAGTTTCTGATCTGCCAATTTCTCAAGTGGTGGGGGCATGTCAGAGCGCAGGTATGCAGCGCCGCCGACGCCGCCCCATGTCCATCCATGTCTGTCTGTGATGCTGTTGTTCCGATGGGGCTAGCTTGATACTCTCTTGCAGAGGGGCGTAAAGCGCGAGACACTTATTAACTAGGAGGATGTGTGTACAATAGGTAAATGAGGCTCGGGTGTTGTTGTTTTCCTGACGGTATGCGCCCCCCCCCCCTTCCCCCTCGTTGTCTTTCCAGCCGCGGGTGTGGCGCAGACGTAGCGACGAGAGCCCGTTCCTCCCTCTATAGACACTCGCTCGTATCTACTATTATCGACACCCGCTCGATAATTCGCGCGTGTGTTGCTGTTGTTCTTGGACCCCCACTCCCCACGGCCTACATAGCACCCCATCACCCCGCCGGCGGTCCGTTTCGGCACAGGGAGAAGGACGACCTGAAGCGGCAGCTGCGAGACTCCGAGTCGGAGTTGGAGGCGGAGAGGAGGCGTTTCGAGGGGGCGGCGGCGGCACACCGGAGGGAGCTAGCGGCCGCTCTGGCGGAAGGAGCCGACGCACGCGGCCTGGCCGGTGGCCTGAAGGAGTCCCTCGAGGTATCGGATCGTAGATCTGGTAGATGCTCCGTATTTGGTGGCTCTTCGAAAATAGCGCTTGGTGCCTGAAGGGGTCCCTCGAGATGTCGGATCGGAGATTTGGCAGACATTCCTTCTTTTGGTGGCTCTTGGAAACAACACGCTCTTGGTGTGGGCTTTGCGCGTGCCTGGTGTTTCCGGTGCTGGTGTAGTGGGTGTGTGCGTCCCGTCCTTCACGTTTTGGTGCTATGTATCTCGCTGGTAACCTGTGTAGAGCGGTTGGTTTTTTGGGTATCACCGTTTTGACCTGGAGTCAAGGACGTTTTTTGGTTTTCGGCATTGTTGAGCATTTTTGTCTTGAGGATGCGAGCGCTCGCGAGGCTAGAAGTTTCCACACCATCGTTTTTCACGTTTCGTCGCATGTTTTGTCCTGCTGCGGCTCGTGGCGTTACCAGGAGGCTTCCGCTCAGGCAAATCGTCGGCAAGGACGTTGGGCCGAGATGGAAAAGCTGGTGAGTCGCAGGGTGTCAACGACACATTTTCCCAGGCTGGCCATTCGTCGGTACATGATGGATCTTTGGGGAGAGGGAGCGAAGCATATCTCATCGATGACGCGTCAGCTTTGCTTGTCAGCCCTTGTGCGCTGGGCATTTGGCGTGAGGGCACCCGCCACAGCTGCTTCCCGCTCAAATGATGCTCAGTCCATCGAGATAGCAGTTGGTGTCTGCCTTGCCAGCAGCAGCAGCGACAGCGAACAACAACAACAACAACAACAACAACAGCAACAAAATTGCCAATCTCAAACTCTAAGTTCTTCATGCGACCACATTTCCCCGCTGCCGTGAACGCTAGCTCACCACCCAGCTAGAGGACACCAGGGCGGGCCTCGCGAGGGCCGAGCGGAGGGCGGTAGCAACGGCCGACATCCGACGAAGAGATGCGGAAGCGGCCGCCGCTGCCGCCGCCGCACTCTCCGCCCACCTGGAAGCAGTCTGCGGCGGTTCCGGCGGGGGAGGTGCTGACGAACGGCGAAAGTCGGGGGGGGGGGGGGAAGGGGGGGGAC